AAAACATAAGTGTCATAGTAATTTCGAGTAAATGACTATTTTTTCTTTCAGCAATATCATTTTGTTGTGGTGTGTCACAACAAGTGGATTGATGCAGAATACATTTTTCCAAAATAATGTTATAAAAAATTTGTTGAAATATTCAGTCCCATTATCCATTCTTAGAATGTTAATTTTTGTTCGAAATTGATTTTCAATCATGTCGAAAAAATCTTTAAAGTGTTGTTCAACTTCAGATTTTTTTTTCCAATAAATACACCTAGAAAACTCGTGTGTGATCATCAATAAATGTTAAACCATTTTTTTCCAAAAAGTGTTAACTTTGGAAGGTCCCCAAACATCACTATGCATAAAATAAAATGGTTTTGAAACAGAATATTGTTTTATTAGAAACGAAACACTATGACTTTTAGATAAATTACACGCTTCACAATGAAATTTTGAATAATTAATACTTTTAAATAGTTTAGGAAATAAAGATTTGAGATATGAAAAGACAGGATGTCCTAATCTTTTATGCCATAACATAACTTGATTATAATCAAAGTTTGAACTTGTACTACCTAATTCATGAGTTGTTTTATACCTAATTCATTGTACTACCTAATTCATGAGTTGTTTTATTCGCAGAATCAATTCCATCATAGTAGTAATACCCATTTATTTCTCTAGCAGTTCCAATCATCTTCCCCAAGTTTCAATCCTGAAAAACACAATAGGAAGGAGAGAAAAAAATGAAATAATCAGAATCTTTAAACAATTTGCTAACAGAAAGAAGATTACATATAAATTTTGGAACATGTAAGACAAATTTCAAAGAGATTTTTTTCTGAAATTTCAATATTTTCTTTTCCTGCAATAGGTGAAAAACTACCATCAGCAATTTTGATTTTTTCGGAACCGGAACATGGATAATATGAATCAAATAATTGAGAACAACTTGTCATATGATCAGAGGCTCTTGAATCAATGATCCAAGGAGTGGTAGTTTCTAGAAAAGCCAAATGATTACTATCTGCTTGTGCTATCGAACCGATAGGCGCATTAGATGATGAGCAAGATTTCAACACTTTAAGAAGATGACTTAATTGCTCTTTACTAAGTGGAGATGACTCAGTCCCATTTGTGGTAGGTGTGATATGTTCACCAGATTTTTTCCCTTACCATTAGTTGGTTTACCATGAAATTTCCAGCATTTTTCGCGAGTTTGGCATGGTTTTCCACAGTAATCACAACGCATGTTGTTTTTATCTACTACACGCAAGTTCTGAGAAGTTTTCATGCTTACTCGAGCTTTCGGAATCGCCAACATTGATCTTTCCATGGACTAGATTGAACCTGTCGTTTGAACCTGTCGTTTTCTTTCCCAACATCACATGTCTCTGACTCTCCTCTCCTTACTTCCGCAAAAACTTCACTAATTGGAGGTAGGGGATTTCTTCCAATTATTCGGCCACGGACCTCATCATATTCAACGTTTAGACCTGCAAGAAATTTGAAGATTCGACCAGTATCTACTATCTTCTTGTACTGCTTGCCGTCATCGTTTGATTTTCATTCATGGTCGTTGAATAAGTCCAGGTCCTGCCAAATCCGCTTAAGAGAATTGAAATACTTTGTTACAGAATCCTCACCTTGGCAAATTTCCCCAAGTCATAGGGTTAACTCATAAACTTGGGACATTTCTAAAACATTGTCCCATAATTCATTAGCTGTAGAGTAACACAAATAATATGCACTTATCTCTTCAGTCATGGAATTGACCAACCTTGTCATTACGATTGAGTTTTCCGCATCACAAATGACATAAGTTATGTCATTCACGTCAGGTTATTTAGTATCACCTGTGATATAGTCAATTTTTCCTCTTCCTCGGAGATACATGCGAACAGATTGTGACCATCGAAGAAAATTATCACAATTTAGTCGGATTGTAGTGATCTGAATGAGATGATTTTTAGACGTATTTCTCTGAGGTTCAGACTGAGATAGCGGAAGAGGCTGACTTGTCCTAGACGTGACTTCAGACATTTTAAAGGTGAAGGACTGTGAATTTGCTTGAGCCCAAGATTCGCCCGCCGAAACAAAAGATTACCGCCATCGGGATCGAGCGGCGAGCGATGCAGATCGAGCAGATAGTCGAGCCTTCGGAGAATTACCGAGCGGAATTGAGCTCTCAAGGCGAAGCGCTTTCGCGAGATGGGATCGAGCGCAAGCGAAGCAGATGGCTTTCACAAGCGAAGCAAACGAGCCTTCAGAGAATTACCGAGCGGGATCGAGCTCTCCAGACGAAGCGGCTTTCGCGAGAAGGGATTGAGCACAGGTGAAGCAGACGACTTTCGCGAGACTGGATCAAGCGACACAGAGAGGATCGCACAGGGCGTCAACAGTTCCACGATCGAAGAAGACGACTCTAAGATCGAACAGCTAAGGATTCAAATCCTCAATAAGGTTGAACAGTTCCACGATCGACTTGCTCTGATACCATGAAAAAATAGTGAAAAAATATTAGAAGACATATTCTTATAGATACAAAGAGGGGTATAAATACTCATTACAAGACATACTGGTAAGGAAAACAAAAAAAACAGAATACAATAGGTAAGAAAATAAATAATAACAAATATAAGAGACAACTAATATCTCTAATTAAGGAGACAGAATAACTAGAGATTCCTATGATCCCTTATACAATTTATAACCCTCTAAATATAGAGTTATAACAAATATGAAATATAATCATCATTATTTGTGAGATCTTTCAACAGTATCAATCGACCCTCTAAATAATCAAATGACAGATAACTAAAGACAATTTTTATGCATCTTACTTCAATACTTTATTTCATTGTTTCTATGTATATAAATATCCATCAAAAGAAAGAACGCTAACCTTTCTTAGCCACTTTTAACTTTATGGAATCATTTGCATTGAAGGGAGAACGAATGTACTAGCCTATAATGATGTTTCAGAATGATGGTATTGTGGATGAAAATGATTAAGTATGATAATTGATTTCGGGCATCAAGAAGATATAGCTCATTCTTCTCTTTATCTTACCCAATCATCTTCTCCATAGTGAGGTTCTAAAATATACAATAATTAGTACAAAAAGCTGACATTACAAGTATGACTTGATAATTTAATAGATTGATAAAATGTTAATTATAAAATGAGGAACATATAATAGGTTACTGAGAATAAAAATGGAGGAAATTGATATATCTTCTAGTCCCGCAATTGTTGTTAGAATCATCTGTCACATTTATATTTCTGCCACTAAGATAGAGATTATAGGTTTCACAAATTCAGAAAAACTATGATGGGAGCAAAGTACAGACAAAGCCAAGGATACAATACAGTCTTCATAAAGCACTTATTTGACGAAAAAATTTCAGTCATTGTTGTATATTGATGAAATAATTGTTATAGGTGATGATAATAAGGAAAATGAGGGTCTTAGAAAGAAACTTGCCAAAGAATTTGAAATCAAAGAGCTAGACAAACTTAAATAATTATTGTACATAGAAGTTGTTCAATCTGAACACGGAATATATCTCTTCCAACAAATATGTAATGGATCTACTAAAGGAAATATACAAATATAATGAAGGTCATGTGAAACCCCAACCAAACCAGATCAATAATTAGGCATACATGAAGAAGAAATCAAAATAGACAAGAGACAATATCAAATGTTAGCTGGAAAATTAATTATTTATCACACACTGATCTGACAACACATTCATAGTAAATAGTGCTAGTTATTTCATGCACAACCAAAGAAATCTCACATTCAAGTTGCTTATAGAATTCTTAGATACCTTAAATAAAGTACAAGAAAATGAATTCTATATTAAAAATAAGACACTCCATAAATTAAGGGATCAATCAACAATCTCAAGAAAATTAACGACAAATGATAATTTTTATGTTTGTTATTAAAGCTATTTATTTTCTTTTTTTCTGTGTAGTTTTGTATATAAAGAAATATCCATTGAAGGAATGAACACTCCAATCTTTCCTAGCCACTTCTTTTTCTACTAAAAATATTATATACATGGCATTATATGGACTATACTAGAAAGACAAAAGGAAATAAATCTAAACAAAATAGGAAAAACTCAAAAGTTTTTAATTCGTGATTTATATGGCCAAAAAGAACATTTGTAACTAGAAGAACACAATATTTTTTCTTGTTGGATATGTGCAATCTGAATTTTTAATCCATGATTTATATGGCCAAAAATAACATTATCTATGAATGTCAAAGATGTCAAGCAACCTCAGTTCAGGTACCCGAGTATACCAATATTTTTCCAACAGTAATGATATCATTAAGGGAACAATCAACAATCTCTAAAAAAATTAATGGCAAATAGCTAAAGATAATTTTTATGTTTGTTATTAAAATTATTTATTTTTTGTTAGTTTTGTATATAAATAAATATTTATTGAAAGAATGAACGCTCCAATCTTTCCTAGCCACTTTTTTTTTCTACTAAAAATATTATATACATGGCATTATATGGACTATACTAGAAAGACAAAAGGAAATTAATCTAAACAAAATAGGAAAAACTCGAAAATTTCTTAAACCATGATTTATATGGCCAAAAAGAACATTTGTTACTAGATGCACACAATATCTTTCCTTACTGGATATGTGCAATCTAACTTTTTAATCCATGATATATATGGCCAAAAATAACATTACCCATGAATGTCAAAGATGTCAAGAAACCCCAGTTCGGGTACCCGAGTATACCAATATTTTTCCAACAGTAAGGATATCATCTAACAGAACAAACATTAAATTACACAATGCAGGACCTTTATATCACAAGATCAGTACATAATTGATTATGCGGAGATAGAACCAAATTGAAGAACTTTTCAGGCCAAAGGATCAAGTAAATATAAACCTTAATAAACACAGGAATAAAAACTTCCAGCCAAAATTTCTTGACCTCGCATCCATTAAAATGATACCACTTACCAATTCTGCCTTGATATTTTTAATTTCTTTTCTTGCAAGGTCCACATCCGTTGCTTGACCTTGAAACCTGGCAATTGGCTGCAAGTTGAATGGAAGAAACCATCATATCAGCAAAAAAATTTGACTTTGGGAAAAAAAAAAAGGCCAGAGATCAGACTCAGCAAAAAAAGTGAAAGCAATCACAAAAATTTAAGTACGCGACTTTCATAGTTTTTTTAAGAAAACCAACCTGCTTTATCATAATTGTTGATGAAGGTAAAGCAGCACGGTTTCCTTTAGCACCAGATGCCAAGAGTAAAGCAGCTTCCCCCCAAGCATTGCCAACACAAAGTGTGAAAATAGGTGGTTTGACATACCTGTAGTGGCAATATAAGAACATGATTCATTCAGAATCTAATATATAGTAGAACTATGACCATATTCTGTGAATGCCTAATTAAAGCCATTGATGCTCGAAAGCAGCCATTAGATCAATAAAAGATCCAAAAAAAACAGAAAATAAAAGGCGTCATGAATTCTAACTTCTCATTTGCCTCTATAAAGCATTAAGTAAGGTGTTAAGCTCATTCTTTGCATACAGTTTTTAGGACTTCTATACATGTAACCTTACTTCTAAATCCTGTTTCTCTGACAATAATATTTATCCTAGTGGACACCAATAAAGACACCATAATTAGTTCCTAAAATTAAAAACTGAAGAAAATTAAAAGAAAAATAAATGACACAAATATGAAATGCTTCTATGGACTAATGATTTCTTTAACGAAAACTAACATAATGACTTAAATACTAAAAATGAAGAATAATATTCTCTTTTAGATTTGACCGATATATTAAATTCTAAACTTCCAGGTTTTTTAATACATTCACTATTAATAAATTCTCTGAAGTATTGACAAAATTTTACTCTTTCCTTGGAGGTGTTTTCATGAATTATGAATAAGAAAAAAAAAAAATGAAAAATGAAGTCAATCTAATCTGATCATTCAAATAATTCTCATAGATAAAAGATTAAAAGTTATGTTATTAAATTGCTCATTTGATTAATCAACTGTAATTGGCATATTTTTTCTGAGTTTATATTCAGGAATGGATTCAATTTCTATTAAATACTCAAGTTTTGATATTAATCCATGGTCGATTTTTTTTTTTAGACCTAAATTGAACTTGTTCAAATTAGGTTCAAGCTCTTATACATGATCTATCATGCTCCTACTATTAGGAACCTCCGAATCAGGTTGTTTTATATGAAGCTCTTGTAATTAAGCAAATCCAACAAAGTTCAGCATCCTTCTATTTTGGCAAAGGATATGTTGTCCTTACAAAATCTAGCAAGGGATAATGTCTTGTGTCACAATTGTTAATGTGGGATTTCAGCTACAAGTTAAGCAAAAAGTTTTGTTCGATTCAAATACGAGTTTTCAGTTAAGATTTTGATTTATTACATAAGTCTTCCTATTTAATTTTATTTTATTATTGTACTTGGGGACCTTATGAATGCAAAAATGGTATGATGAGTGTACAAATCCAATCAATTATTTTTGAATAAATTTCTTATGAACGTACAATTCCTTCGAATATTGATTCTTCTTATTTGGGGAACTTCCACATTTAATTTTATTTTCTATATTCTTGTTATTAGTTTGCTCATGTAATAGATATTTTATCATTACCATGTGTCGGTCAAGATTGAGCAATTTGTCGGTCAACTTTTTCGATGTGAAAATTTTAATTTAAATATATATAAGGTAAAAGGTTTAGATTATGAAAGTAGTGTTTTAATTTTTTAGGAAATGAGATTGAATTGATCTCATTAGTCCAATAATTTGTATAATCATATCTGACACCCTGAATACTACACATTCCAAGAGAAAAGTGTAGACTCCGATAATAGGCCCAATCCTGCAAATTAAGAGATTTGTGACATCCATTTGGTCTGCGAACCTTTTATATATGACCAACAAATTCCCCTATTTAATACAAAGATTAAATAGAGTTTATTTTACCTGGGTTCCAAGTTCCCTAAAGGTAAACCCCTATAGTTAATTACATCCCAAATGACGGGAGTCATTTGAGAAAACTCTCGTTCTAGTCTTCAAGAATTCAAAGTTTAGGTTTTCAAGGTAGGACGTGGAAAAATAAGTGGGAATGACTCAAGTAAGAACGATCCTTTCAGGAGTCCAAAGGAAGTAAAAGATAGGGGATGTCACAGATCCAGAGGGGAATCCTCAGTGACCTCCCAAACTATCTTACTGTGTGGCTGTGTTTTAGAGGATTTTATTTGAATGTTAAATCCTGTCAATTTTATTAGTTGGGACTTACATTTGCATAATAACTGGTTATGCAAATAGCCCGCAAAGATAAGAGGTTTTACGTCATTCTAGATGACAACCTCGGAACCTAAGGCGAGTTGGGACTTACGCTGCACAACATAGCTGTGCAGGAGCCTAAAAGAGAGAGGAAATACGTCACGCTAGGCAAACTACCTCGAAATCCTATGGGTTGTTTAAACTAGGAAAGTTCAGTTGGTGCAGACTCGTTCTGCCGTTGAGTTGTAGAAAGACGACCCCCTCCACCTGTAGTTCGCTCCAAACTCCTTGCCGTGCTGCCCACGAAATTGCTCCGACCTCCTCGTCGCAGTAACGTCTAATATGTCAAGTCATGATGTCAAATCAAATGTTCCCTAGGGTTATGATCATTTAAATACTATGGGGGATGTTAAAGTTGATTAAAGTGACACTGATTACGACCCACGGTTCCCTCGTTCCGATATCACTATTTTCTTTTGAACTTACTTAGTTTAAACGAGTTGTGAAACCCATTTAAACCGGGGAGATCTCGTTAGCAACCGTGGGTTACCTCCTCCGAGGGACTCTCGTAAGTTCGAAAAAACGTATTATGTTTTTTTTTTTTTTTTTTTTGAAAATGTTGTTTAATTTAAAAAAAAAGGTTTTGTTTTGAAAGTGAGGTTGTATTCAGTACCTGCATAATGTGTTAGAGCAATAGTAATTGCAATAAAGAAACAACAACAAATAAAATGTACCTGCGTACGTGGTGTATCTGCTGCTGCTCTTCCTGTTGCATGTTTAACTCACAAAACACCATATAATTTGCAGAGAATTTAAATAAATTGCAGAGAAAAGAAGAAAACAATAAACAATAGAACAAGTTGTAGTAACAGTTAGAAATTCCCAAAAGAGGTGATCCTAAGGCCTCCTACAACTTCTGAATGCAACTAGCGAGCTAGTATGATGATCCTACGATCTCCTACGGCTCCGGTAAGCAACTAGAAAATGTGTACTACGATCCTACGACTCCGGACAGCAACTAGGAATTTCGAATGACGCCTGTATGAGTTCCTATGAACCCAAACAACAATGGGCAACACCTATGTGGTTTCCTACGAACCCGAACAGAGGTGGACAACAACTAGATGGACAGCTACTAGGTGGCTTCCTACGAACCCAAACAGTGGTGGACAGCTTCGGGGTGGACAGCTCCTAGGTGGCTTCCTATGAATCCAAATTTACGAACCCAAACAGTGGTGAACAACTCCTACGTGGCTTCCTACGATATCTGATAACGATTAGGAGCATTGGGCAACACTCTATAACCTTCCTATGAACCCAAATCGTGGTAGACAGCTACTAGGTGACTTCCTACGAGCACTCCAAATCATTAATTTCAGCACATCGCAGCACTCCAAATAATTAATTTCAGCACATCGCAGCACTCCAAATAATTAATTTCAGCACATCGCAGCACTCCAAATCATTAATTTCAGCACATCACAGCACTCCTACAGCACTGTACAGTGATTGGCAACTTCAAACAGCATTTAAATGGAACGCAAAATCCTCCAAAACAATGATTAAAACAGTTTCCAAATGATGGGTTTAGTTCCACCAAAACAGCGACTAAAACAGTCCCAAATGAGGGGTTTAATTCCACCTAAACAGCGATTAAAACATCCCCAAATGATGAGTTTAATTCCTCCAGAATAGTGATTAAAACAGTCCCCAAATGATGGGTTTAGTTCCACCAAAACAACGATTAAAACAACCCCCAAATGAGGGGTTTAATTCCACCAAAACAGCGATTAAAACATCCCCAAACAATGTGTAGTATGCAGCGAAAGAATTCATTTGTCACAGATGCACGTATTCGAGTTCCAAGTGTGGGACGTGTGTGTAAAAAAAAATTAAAGTTTGGGTGTTAGCATGTATGTCCTACTTCATGCTGTTTAAACTGAGATTTGTAATGTACAACAGTCAATTACGATAATAAAATATCATAGAAAATATATGGCGGAAGCAAAGCACATGCGTCAGAATTGGAATAAAGACAGGTTTCTGTAACTTGGTAAGCAGAAAAGTTTAATTGCATACCTTGAACTCCAAGAAGAGGAAGATTCAGAAAAGCTGCTCGTGCCGAAGGAGGAAGGGGGAAGAAGCCTACCTTTGCGAATGAGAGGAAGCTTGCAGTTAGCAGGATTTCGGATGCAGAGAGGCTAGCAGGGAAGAGTCTCGAGCGGGCGAGCTGAACGAATGAGGGTTTCGATTGCAGAGGAGGCGTTCAGGTGTTCGGCCAAGAGGCGAGCAAAAGCTTCGGCTAGGGATGCGATCGAGTCGCAGAAGAAGAGCGAGCGAGCAGAGGAGGGCGCTCGGCCTTCTGGTCGTGCGTGAGGGAGAGGCGAAACAGGAGCGGGAGAGACGAACGGGACTGTCCGGTCGAGCGAGGAAAAGACTAGCAGGTGAGGGGCTCCGAACAAAAGGAAGATGAACAGGAGCTCCGCAGAGGCAGAGGCAGAGGAGGGAGACTGCCAGCGAGAGAGAGGAGCTCAGGGGAGGCGAATCAAGCCGACCGCGGAGGAAGCTGACTCGCATTCCTTTTAGAATTGGAGCGGGGTCAAGAGTCGTTACACTGGAAGCAATTGGCGGGGAAATTAATGAATTTCGAATGCGGGGAGGATTAATTGGAAAGCATTAACACCTGAATTAATTTTAATTAAGACAAATTTTAATAATTCATTTGAATTTTAAAATTTGAATTTCAAATTCAGGTGAGCTGGTGCCTAGCCCGTGTTCAGCCCGAGTCCAGCCTGAATCAAACCCGAGTCGGACCTGAGTTGAGCCCGGGCCCGCGCACAGCTAAAAAAGTGCATTGATATCCGTGCTAGTCGCTCACGCGCGAAACTATAACGATATGGGGGTCATTTCCAGCTTAAATCGACGTTCCGGACGCGTCGGCGCGGTCCGTTTCGTCATCTGGGGTCGTGCGGGCGAGTTTGCCGGCGGACGAGTCAAATCAAGTCAAAATCGTGTGGAATGCGATGCGTGCTCAAAATGCGACGTTATCGAGCGTTCGAGTCACAAAGGGTTCACCTAATGCTGTTTGATCCTATAGGAACTCATTTTCAGGCCCTCTACATGTTGGTCCTTAGCCCTTGCAACTAGAAGTCGAGTGCTTGGAACCACTCATGCGAGTTCTTCACAGAAATGAGTCAAGAAGTGGCTTGAAATTCTACGGGAGGTTGGCTCCATTACTAGTCTGTTAAGATGGGCAATAAGAACTCCTACTAGGCTCTAAGGAGAGACAAAAAAGAGACCTCATCCAGAAATGAGGTCAACACTATGATAACATGATTTTTATTGATTGTATGGTTTTCAGGTTTCCAAATTATTAAAAATCCGCAGTAGCAACCATAGACCCTAAAATGAAATGCATCACAAGATTTTTCATAATGCACAATTTCCTTTCACTAAATGAAATTAAGAAAAAAAAAAGAAAGCTAAAAGAAAAAGCAAAGAAACCCCAGTAATCCAAAAACAATTTTTGTGATCTAACCTCATAACATCATATATTGCAAAGGCCTCTGTCTCATACCCTAATTTTTCACCACCCTGAAAAAATGCAAAAAACAAGAACACGTCAAAGAAGTGTAAATTAGTGGTACAAAATTGAAATATTCATGAAAAAGAAACAAATTTAAAAGCATGAAGCAAAAAAGCTATAAAATTCAGTTTAACTAGCATAAATAGATTAAACTCAGCATCGCCACAGAATATATATATATATATATATATATACTGAAAGAAAGAATGGAAGGAAGAAATCTAGGGGTCGTTCGGGTACAAGTACGATTTAACTCAAGTAGGATTTTGCAGATCCAATAAATCTGTATTAGTAAATCCTAAGTTAGTTAAGTTCTAAAAACTATTTAGTATAATAAATGTTAGATTTGGTTAAATCCTGATGAACTGATTGATTATTTATTTCAGGATTTAAGCCTATTAGCTCAAATAGAATTTTATATTAATTATTGATGATGAAATTAATGTAAATAATATTCTAGTTATTTCTTACTTAGTAAATTAGCAAGCTAACTTAATATAATAGCTTCTAATTACTTATTAACCAAAAAATTATACTTTTTTATTAATATTTTTAATTATGTAACATAAATGGTTGAGGCTAATTTAATTTTTAATTACCATATTTGTATCTAATTTATTTATGAATCATTAATACTATTAATTAGTATTTTTTAAAAAACTTTATTAAATCATAATTAATAAGATAATATGGAAATTAACTATTAATTAATAAATCATTAAATTGAATAAATGTAATAATTAAGATGTAATCAATTTACTCTTAAATATTAATATTAATTGATAATTATTAATATTTTTTTAGTTCGCAACTATACTTAACACCCTCTTCAACACAAAACCCTCACCTCCAAAAAGATGAACAAAAATCATAACGCAAGCTTGCCAACAAAGGCATTGACGAGATCACGAGAACAGTGCTCACCAACGGCACTCCTCCAAGCTGGAGTGCCATCAACCCATGTCTCTGCCCAGAAAACAAAAATCTAACAACCAAACAGTCCCTTAAATAAAGTAATAACTTTATCTAAAGAAAAGAAGATTAAGAAATAAAAGATAACCTTATGAACGTTAGCACAAAAAATAAAATTTACCCAAGTAAATATATTCCTTCATATTATTTCTATTTCTGTTGGATTACATCAGGGATCAGCTTTAAGCCCATATTTTTTGCTTTAGTGATGGATGGTCTTACTGTAAATTTACAGGAGGATGTACCTTGGTGTATGCTTTTTGTTGATGATATCATTCTCGTGGATAAGACGAGAGAGAAAGCCCAGGAAAAACTTGAATTATGGAGGTCTAGCTTTGAGTATAAAGGCCTTCATTTGAGTAGAACTAAAACTGAATACATGGAATGTAATTTTAGTAGTAGTGGTCTAGTGACAGAAGTGTAACTTTGGGTGATCAAATTATTAAAAGGTGTGAACGATTTAGATATCTCAGGGTCTGTTGTTCAAAGCGACGGTGATATAGATGGGGATGTTAATAGTAGAATTCAAGTTGGCTGGTTGAAGTGGAGGAATACTTTGGGCCTATTGTGTGAAAGAAAAGTACCGCTTAGACTGAAAAGAAAATTTTATAAGACGGTGGTGAGACCTGCAATGCTCTATTGCGCTGAATGTTGGCCTTTAAAAGAGAAGCATAATATTAAGTTATGTGTTGCTGAGATGAGAATGATTAGGCAGATGAGTGGCTTTACACTTAGATACAATATGTGAAATGAATATATCCGTGATAGGGTTGGTGTAGCTCCTATGACGGACAAAATTAGAGGTAGTCATCTTAGATGTTTTGGTCACATTAAACGTCGACCATCTGATGATCCGATTAGGAGAGTAGATGTTTTAGATTCGACTTATGTCAAAAAAGGTAGAGGTAGACCTAGGAAGAGTTGGGCTTATTGTAGAAAAAATGATCTTAATTTATTAGAACTAGATGAAAATATGACACTAAATAGGACGCAATGGAGAAAAAGGATTCATGAAGCCGACCCTACATAGTGGGATTAAGGCTTTGTTGTTTTGTTTTTGTATATTATTACTGATTGTAGTGCTTATTCTATAAAATGGTAGGCTCTTGAGATTGATATTGCGATGCACGATCATCATATATATCCTCCCAAGTTATACTTTGCAAGCACCATTACACCCCATAGAGGTAACTTGTGAAGTATCAATCCTCAAACAAAGACAATTTATTCTTAAAACATGCTCTCTCATCTTTCATCAGAAATTGCAAATGTATCATTTTCTTGAATCGTGAGAATCTTTAAAAATATATTCCGCCAGTGCCTAAGGGCAATTTAATTCTTTAATATCCTAAGGGCAACTTAATCTTTTAGCATTTATTATTATGGGGGTATAAATAGGGCTAATATATTTAGGTTTAGGTTATGCATGAGATTGTAGTCCTAAGTCTTAGGGTTAGAGTTTTGGAGAGATCGCCTACCTCAAATTATACATGATTATCTTTATGCATTCGTGTTGTGTTGTTTTGTGTTATTTAATAAAAAATTTGTTTGCCCCAATTTTTGTGGAAAACTTGGCCTGATTTGTATCAAAGAGGTATCAAAGTATTTGATTCTGAGAAACCAATATTAGGATCACTATATACAAATTGATGGATTGGGATAGAGGCCTACAACGTCCATCGCATCAAAGCTTGCGATATAGCCGCAATTCACACACATCTGGGAAGAAACGGCGGGATCATTGCAGACGACACAGAGCGTGAGCGATACGGTTGTGATAAGAGCTTGTTAGGGTGACATGATCGTGATACAAAGAGCTAGTTGGGAAGTGGATCACAGTTGCAATACAGTAGCGAGATCACGACGTGCCAGTCGCGATCTGAAATCCGAGAAGTCAGCTACCAGATCGAGCTTGTCCTAGTGACTAAACCTCTCGTGATCCAAGAAGCCAATAACAAAATTGTGGCGTTCTTGTCGAGATTCAAGGTAGATGGGAAGACAACAACATGATCGCGACATAAAGGAGTTCCACCTTTGTGATCGAAAACCTTCTGAGGAGTAATGGCGGCCAAGAAATTAAATGCTCTGGAGAACAAATTAAAGAAAGAGATGAGCCACATTAGATTTAAAATAGATTAGTGTTTCTCATCCATGTAGGGGCAGTTGTCGTCCATGGAGGTAAGTTCACGATCCTAAAAAAATTGATAAAGAATATCGTGAAATTTCACACAAAACCGTCTGCCATGAGATCAAGCTACAGCGTTGCGCACAGATGCGAGCGGAAACACTATGAAGAAGGTAAGTTCACTATGAAATTTCAATAAAATATTGATTGATAAAGATCTATAATCATTAATTTATATTTTTTCAGCCTCTTTTGCATTTCTTTTTAACTCAAATTCCTAGCATCCAAACACACATATAGATCATTTTCTTAGTAGGGACTAATGCTTGTGGCAAATGAATTTTTCCCAAACGAGTATTAGGAATAAAAAAAATTTAAGTAATTAAATGATGGTTTGCAATTTGTCAAAAATGATTGATCATAACTAGAGACTACTCATTGCACCAGAACCTAAACATTGTGGGACCTTTACCATACATTTAATAAGGCTAATTTTATAATAATTTTATAGCAATTTTTTGCAGAAACTGACATATATTTATCTTAAATCATACGAAGTGATGATGAAATTGCTTAAAATTTTCTCCCTCAATTTACTGCACAAAACTCTAAACTTCATCAGTTTTATCATAAGATCATTGAAAACAACATTACATGCTAGTATCCCTGATTAAAGCAACGGTGACCAGGCTAGCCCAAGGTTTTAGCCGGTTAAGCAAGCTAGCTACAGGTAAGTCCCATCCGATCTAAATCTACATAGTTGATAGCAATTGGACGGCTGTAATCTCCTTCTCTTGTTCAAATAGGCATGAAATTTAGAACTAGGTGTGATCAAATTAATCCTAATCAAGTCTATAAACCTAAACCAATTTTAGTTCATGGAGAGACTTGTCTATAATTCTAGATCAATGGAGAAAGTTTTAGAATTATGCTCACCGATGATGTTTAGTAACTCATTAAAAACATTATATTGCTAACTCATATAATAGAATTGAACAATATTCACAACTTAAGTTGCAAAATAATCAATAGAACATAATTTTAACACCATCAATTTTGATTGAGCTAACATACTAAAATTGATTTCCTAAAATCATGATTATGAGAAGAACCACTGACCTTCGTAGTGCCTGTGGAATTAATGTAAAGGTAAATAGGCTTTTGCTCATCTTCATATTGAAGGTATAAAAACTCAGCCAGCATTAGCTCTGTCACCGAAGGCACCAGGGACATACCCAGAAATACAATTCGATTTTTGTACAAATATGAAGCAAGATCAGGAGGCGGTTGTTCCCATGCATTTCCTCTGAGGAATGGAATTACCTGAAGCAAAACATAAAGCGTGAATTCATAAGCAAAAAAAAAAAAAAACAATCGTAATTAAGATCAGGACAACCCCTCCGACATAGATTCACAATAGCAGCAATATCCATTCGTTTTATTCAGGTAACGATAGATTATCAAGATTACTGACTAACATAAGTGTCCATTAAAATCTTACAGCCATAAATTACATCTTGCTATAATAAATCCTAGGATTCTGACGCACAATTTAATGCCACATCCATCCATCACAATTCCCTAGGAAGCAAGAGGTCTTTTTATCCAAATGAATTGGTCAAAAAATGGAAACAACGACATAATTCATTAACCTAATGCATAGAAAAAGGTTACAATTGGTTACAACAAGAAAACTCAGTACGCGAAAGCACTTAAATTAGAGGATGATAATTTCAAATCTACATTAAATACCATAAATGTAATCAAATGTTTGTGCTAGATAAGCAAAAGCTGAATATTCTACCTCATTGAATATTCTGCCTCATATCAACTTTTAGTTTAGCATCCAATAAGATTGCAGGAGATGAGCTAAAGATGGAATTCAACTAAAACCTTCATAGCTCTGAAGAACTAACTAGAGTAAGATAGTGTAAGAATTGAAGAGAAATAGTTGAGTATTCCATTCCAATATTTATGCAGTAATTATACAATCCTAGGAGGCTTCTAATAAAAAACATAAAAATCAAGGAGTAATAATTACAAACTAATTAATCTAGTCCATTAATTGATGAGCAAGCAAAATAATTATAATAGTCCAAAAATTGATAAGTTAATAGTAAGATCAATGAGATGATACTGAAAAAGGAATAAAATAGAACAAAATTCTAGGTGCGTATGAATCATAGGTGATGGAAATAATGCAGAAATTTTACAGTTCTTCTCAAGGAAATGAATAAATACCATTTAGTTTAAAGTATGTCTGTTATTTATAAAAAACTAACCATTATATCAATTTAGTAAGAATTTAAACAACAAGTAGTTCTATTGTAGTTACGAATGAAGTACAAAATTAACCATTGCCATGCTTCTTCTTTATAAAATGTCTACCAAATTCAATATGTTTTATATGATCATATTACACAAAATTATACGCAGTATTGATGGAACAATTGTTAGAGAACAGAGCCTCATAAGAAGTTCAATTCAATTTTTTAATCTACCAAAATAATTTGTAGTCGTAGCAATTCATAAATTCCGAGTGTTGTGAATTGAAATTTAGCTTTTGCACTAAATCTTGTTATTACATTTAATTTTTATTATTTCAACAAATTATAAGTTTGCTGCCTCTTAAGAAAATACAATATCCAATAGTCGATCATCTGTAAACCATAAAACCTACATAACTTGCATCTATCTATACTTCTAGAATCAAGTCCATCGCCTTTTTAAATAGAATTTCTTGTATGGAATTCCCTTTAAATATTAAAGAATTCTACATACTACCCTATGAAGATCCTTTAGAATTGTGCATGAATGGCTCGCCACACCAAAAATGTAGGCATATTCCCACTAGCACTTATAAAAAGCTCTTTGTACTGTTGTTTCCTGTGGATAGTCTCCAAATTTATGATTAAATTTCATGAGGCTCTCAACAATTTTGAATACTAATTTACTTGTTTCTTTCACCATGTTTATCATCTATTATGATTGATATCAAAATTTTATGTCAGAAGTAATGAACTTTCATGCCAAAGAAACACTTAACTTGCCTAACTTTGAATTTTTGGAGCAAACCTTCTTTTTTTTAATTCTCTACTACTTTCAAATCACCAACCGTTATAATATTATCATGAATAGAATGTAATGGTGAGGACATTGTTCCCAAAGCCTTCTATTTTATAAATTATATATCGATTCATTAACTTTATTTATACCCAAGTATAACAATAATAAACCTTCTAGACCATGCTCGTGAAAATTATTTTAATACACACAATGTCTTTTTTAGCTTACCCACCTTTTATTTTGTATTTGAACAAGACTCCAATAAGACATCTATATATACTTCATACTCCAAGTTATAATATAGGTATTATTCACATCAAATTGTTATATGTACTCTAGTTTATGTTAGCTATTATAGATACGAGAAACTCTAGTAGTGTTAATTTAGCAACTGAAACAAAGGTTTCATGATAATCAATACTTTGACCACTAGTTTGGTTGTCAACACTTGTAACCCATCAAATTTATATTTTACGATAAAGATCCATTCATGTCTCATTAGTTTCTTTCATTTTGGTAACTTTGCTAACTCTCATATTTTATTTTCTTTTTAAAAGCTTCTACTTTCTTTCCTTATATTAATATTTCAATTCACATCATTTAAAGCCTCAATTTTTTTTATGATAGAAACACTATGCGGAATAGTAAGAAAAGATTGGTGATTATGAAAAAAAATTGTATGATAAATAAGTGTAAGGAATACTTTGTTGAAATTATTTTGCCTTTATGTATAGGCTCAATGATTCCCTTAACAAAGTTAAGGACAAGAATGCTGATTGAACTTACATAATTGAGATGACTTTCTTCTTGTGTAAATATGTAATAGTTAAGTATTAGCTTAGTATTAAATGGTTTTAGTGTAGGCTCGGCTTGGGAAAGAATAGTTGGTTCTAAAAAAAATGGTCATTTCATAAAGAATACGAGATAAGGGAATTCAATCTAGATAAAAAGAAAAACTCATTTGTGAATAATATTTCTTCTTTAGATCTAATAAAAAATAATGATATTTGACATCAAAGAAAATAAACCTTTCTCATAGGGGGGTGACAGCATTTACCTTATTTTGTGTGACAAAATAACCTATGAAAAAACATTTAATTACCAAAGGAATATGTTACATATGCTTTGGAATGAAAAAGAACAGACAATAATTCAAAATATTTTGGGAATGCATTTGCTCAAAATATTAAAAAGTAAAAAATATTAAGTTGGAAGTTGTTTGGAACTATTAAACCTATTATTCTTCTAAAGTAATCAGTTTCTAATGCGGGCGACTGTTAAAATTATTTTCCTCAATATTATTTTAGGAGAAAGAATGGCTAAAATATTAGTTGCATGGTCAGATCAAACTCCTTTAAGTTCAGCACCAAACTGATTTCTGATCATAGCATGAAATATGAGATAGGTCTTTACATCACATCTTTTAGTAAAAAAATCCATGTTACGGGAGTACAATCATTGATTAAGAAGCAAGAGATGTTTGATGTAGATAATAGTTCTTCGCTGTCAAAATAAACGAGTCTAAATGAACTGAAAATCCAATTGTTATTCATTGGAAAACTGACATGTTTAAGTTTTTCTAGTTCGTGAACATCTTCCTGAATTCTTTAACATTGATTTCTATGAAGAATGAAGAAACATAATTTTAAGAACAATAAAGCATAGGTGACTTAGGCATATGTTGATGTCAATTTTTTTATCAGAATTAAGGATTTCTAAGAAAAGGTATTACTGAAGGATATATTGATTATTGGATTCCTCAAGATAGTGAAGGACTAAAAGGTATCATTCTCTTTAACAATTTCAATCGTCCTCTTCATGTCCTATTCCTAAAATACACATCATGAAAGATAAAACCCAATGCTGCTTAGAATCTTTAGCTAGCCTTGGAATGAATAACAGGTAGATAGATAACATAATATATGAGGATAGTTCAAAAGGTGAGGAATTATTTATAAGAATATATCTTATATCAGCAAAATGTTTGATAATCCATCCGATATGGTTATTTTCTTGTTGTTAAGATGAGGAATATTTAAAAAAAATTAAGTGAAACGTTGATCATATAATCTATATCCCTTAAAAAATTTAAGTGAAACGTTGATCATATAATCTATATCCCTTACATCGATTATTCAAGAGCTGAAAAATGAACATTTTTTAGATTTTAAAGGCATGAATAGAGGAGGTAATACCTGAGAATGATAGAATATAGGTACATGGTATAGATATTTTTTAGGCACCATTGGAAAATATTTTTACCTCTCCATGCCTTATAAATGACTCATTTTTCTTCTCTTTTTTTATAATTTATTACCCATTTGCAGCAATTTGAGATGATTGTTTCCATTCACCAGTATGTTAAATAAATGTTTTGCAGCTCCCCTCTTAGTTTTGGACGGCAACACTCAATTAGAAGAGAATCAAAGACTAAGGGTATCTGTGTATTAGTTTTTTTATTCATAAATAGGAAAATTGCAATTTTTTTAATTGAAAAAAACAAATAAAGAAATAAATATAACAATGTAGTGATAAAGGACACAATAGTGGGAAAATTTTGTGGTAATGCAATGACAACTATGAAAAAAGTTAGCGATAATATGGTGAAGAATGTTGTGGATACGAAAAAATAAAGAAAGAAAGGAGTGTGTATATGAAGGCTGCAAAATTTTGGAAGCTATTGCAATGGAAATACTGTGAAGAGAAATAATCTAGGTATGTAATACTAGGGAAGGAATTGAAGAGAACTAATTTGCCATACCAATCCAACATTTATGCACAATGCTATGAGAACTTCTAATAGGAGATAAATAAAATAAAAATAATAATAATAGTAAAATAATTATAATAGTTCACAAATTAATGAGTAAATATAATAATGATTATAGAATGATTATAATAGTTTATCTATTAATGAAGAGGTAGTATGAATCTCATAGATCAATGTGGTAGTAGTAAAAGAAAGAACGAGGACAAAAATCTTGGAGACTGTGCGTCACAACTAGTGAGAATTATGCAATCGTTTAAAGGATAGCATAAATGGGATCTCCCTTACATTGTTATACCTACGTGGATAAATAATCATGCCTGTCAAAGAGCAAAAAAAATTAAAAAAAATAAGTCATTACACGTAAATTTAAATAATCCTTATCAATAACAAGATTTAAGTTATGTTAAATCTTTGACTTCTAATCCTCTTTCTTTTGACAGCTAAGATTCCAACCTTCCGTGGGCATTTTGCATATCTCAAGAAAGTATTAACACAATTATTATTCCTTTGAAATAATATGCGCCTTCAAAACATCCAATATGGTGGGTGGTTATAAGAAGTAATGATGTTGAATGATGGAACATCGAATTTTGCCCATTGTAACATAAAATAATTGGAAAAAAAAAAATCATTTTCTAAAGGCAAGGGCTTCATATTTATTTTTAGAAAAATCCTAAAAAGGGAAGTATCTATTAGATAAATTAATAAATTTAATATTCGAGGATTAAAAAGAAAAAAATAGTTGACATAAAGTTGCATGGATGGAAATTGTTCATAAGGATTTATGAAAAATATATTCTAAAACCTCAAATTTAATAGGAATGAATGAAATATGAAGATTGACGATGTCAGCCACAGATATACAATATGACTAATGAAAAGGAAGAGCAACAAATAATACCAATTTCAGGGAGTAACATTTTTCTTGGTTTTATTGTCTGATTCTATAACAAATTTACTAATTAGGGAATTATAATTCACTTCCTAGTAATAACCTTCACATGGCATACAATCATCATTAGGCTCATACAAGGTTTTGGTGTCATCTTTGTGAGCCCTCTTTATGGATTCATTTTTGACATTTAGTCGTTAGTGTTTTATAAGATTTAGTAATTGTAGAAAAAAATATGTGCAACTAGAAACCATTTTAACTTGGTATAAAGTTTCTCTACCTAATCTTTCAACAAGTTTATATATTTATCATATTAGTACAACTTTTATCATCTATTATGCATATCCAAATCATCTAAGTATATACTACCTTATCTTTAATAAGTGACACTTCCATTGTCTACTACTATAAACATTCTTCACTATATTTTCTAGTTTTATTTCACATTCATATTACAACAACAACAACAACAATCCTTTATCCTACTAAGTGGGCTTGGTCGCATGAATCATTTTTCTCCATTGTGTCTTATTGAGTGTCATATTCTCATCATATTCGAGTGTCATATTCTCATTTAATTCTAATAAATTAAGATCACTTTTTATACAATATGCCCAAGTATTTTTGACCTGCCTCTACCTTTCTTAACATATTTCGAATAAAAAAAATCTACTTTCATAACCGGACCATCAAATAGTTGACGCTTAATGTGACCAAACCACCTAGATGACTCTCTAATCTTGTCTGCCTTTGGTGTTACACCAACCCATTCACAGATACATTAGTTTCATATTTTGTCTATAAGTGTCAAGCCACTTATCCACCAAATTATTTTCATCTCAGCAACACTTAACTTAGTTTTATGCTTCTGTTTTAAAGGCTAACATTATGCGCCATAAAACATTATAGGTCTCATCACTATCTTATAAAATTTTCCTTCAAGTCAATAAGTTCGATTCATTCCTCCACTTTAACCAACTAACTTGAATTCTACTAAAAAAATTCTCATCTATATCACCATCAAATTGAATAATAGATCAGATATATCTAAAATGTTCACTTCTTTTAATGACTTGATCACCAATAGTTACAGCTCCACCACTATATCTACTACTACTAAAATTACATTCCATGTATTCAGTTTGGTTGAATATTTTAATTTTTTCCATTATATTTACTTTGTATTTCTCAACACTCAAATCCACAAATCATAATTGTCTAATTGCAATTTGGTAAAATTTATTTGTAAGTCTCCATGTTATTATCTTATAATACAATAATCCTTAGGCATTTATTTATTATAGAAACCTAGGTTTAACTCAAAAGATTTTGTAATTGTCAGGAACCACATTCTATTGCATAATAGATATAAGATAACAAAAACCTACAATGCCAATATATCATTTGATCTTCTAGAAATATTGATTAAAAATTAATAATTTCACAATCACAAAAATTAGACATATGTACAATTTTTTATACTAATACACAGCCATCTATTTCCACATAACTCTTACTCATAATTTTTTTAGATTTAAAAGGCGTTGTTAAAACCCATCACAATGATATTCACCTACAAAATGTGCCAATTACCTCAACTTCTAATAACAACAATTAACAAAGCATGCTGAAAATTTACATCCATGATCATCCTCATGAGATTATAACCAATTGAAGTAAATCTCCCTTTCAAAAGGAGCAAAAGATGCCCAATTGGTATTGCCCAAGCTCAATCGGCCACCCCTACATCCAACTCATAGAGCTTCACAGATATTGAATATAAATTAATTAGAAAAAGAAATCAACACAACTAAAGTCCTCCTTTTGACAAATCATACGAATTAGAATGAGGGAAAGAATGAAGGGAAAGCGGCAAAGAAACAAGCCCGAAGGTACCATAGTGACGACACCCCTCTTGCCGCCTCGTCTGGAAGGCGACAGCCTTAACGAAGGGACGCGGATCTTATGACCGGTGAAATCGGCAGAAACACTCCCCGCGACGAAAGGGACGGTGGAGCTGCTCCAAAAAGAATAGCACAAGGGGGAGCAAGAGGAAGGACTCGCAGACCGAGTGAATCCGTTTCTGCCGCTGTGAAATAAATTTGAGTTGCAGGTGAAGATACGCTGTTCCGGTGAGAAGCGTGGGGGAGAGAAGGCCATCACCATTGTTGCAGCGGGAGGAGCAAAAAGGCCAGTGAAAGAAAGAACAGGGGATCACAGCGTAAAATTACGGCCCACAGCTCACAGCTCACAGCTCACGGCAACAAGGAAACTAAAGACCCGAGCTAAACAAAGCACGTAGAGCTAAGTGAAAAAATTAATCTAAAAAACCAACATATTTTTTTTTATTTTTTATCATTTTTTTATCTCTAAAATGAGAGAAAATAATGAGTCCGACCCCATCCTGAAAAAGAAATATAACAAATACAGAGATCTAGATTTTTGGCTCTTGAGATTGATTCGACGTTTGAGATTTTGAGATCGGCATCAAGTTCTCTAAGGTTTATTTTAGAGGTTATCATTTGGTATTTTCTAATCCCCCGAGATTCTTAAGTTGTACCAAGTTTAGATTTCGACATTTCGTCCCTTTTCCTCTTTAGCTTCTTTATTTTTGCTTATAGACATTGTCTCATTTTAGGGCTCCATATGTTTGCTCATCTCCAAGCTTAATGACAAAGAACGTAGGGAGTCTCGCAGGAATCAAAATACAACATACGACAGCTGTGTATGATCCAATAATTCTCTTTTTTGGTGTGTAAATTTGATAACATGCTTCCAAATTTGAGGCAATCCTTGTCTTTTTTTTTTTTTAATGGTTGAGTTTTCTATTATAAAATCATATTGTGTTGGTTGTACTGAGTTCCGGGAAGTTTGTACAACCGATACAGCATGGTTGTATTGAAGTAAGAATGCAATGTTGGGTTTTGTTTAAAATCTAAATAAAAATAAAAAAATGGTATATAATAGAATGAATTTTTAATTTTTACTTTTAGTCATACATATAATCATTTGATTATTCTCCTTGTACAACCAAGTTGTATTGGTTGTACAACACAGTTGTACTAAAGTAAGAAGACAATGTTTGGTTTTCTTTAAAATTTGAATAAAAAAATGGTATATAGATAAAATGAATTTTTATTTTTTTATTTTTGCCTACAGTTGTCTTATTATTTATGATCCGCCACCAACAATTTTTTTTTTATTTGGCACGAATCTCGAAGCATGATACGGATCTCGAGACAATGCAAGAGATGTTCAAACTTGGATAAAAACTCATCAAGAACTCCGATTTCAGCAAACTTATAGTCAAACTAACCAGCTCGAAGAGGCGAACCTAATGATATCAAAGTTAGTCTAATTTGAGTCAAACCAAGCCCGAATCAAGTCATTAAACCACCCTTAAAAGATCTTTGGACATATTTGGAAGATCAAACGGATTGCAAAGTTGTCAAGTTTATACTTGAATCAAGCGTCTCGACGAGATGAATCCAACGAGCCTAAGATCACTCAATTCTGACACCATTAAGATACTCAAATGTCCATTAAACGTCATATAATCGAGAGAAGCTATAGACCGTCTGATCAAAATTGTTCATATTTTTGCATTAATGACATCCCAAACACTATAAATAGACCCCTACCCCTCTCATGAGGGAGGAGGGCGGAAGCCTTAGGAGAGAACTTGAGGCTTTGAGAAAGAGCTGAAGTCCAACACCACCGCCGACCGTCGTCGACCACTGTTGATCGCGAGGCTTTGAGAAGGAGCTGAAGTCCAACACCACCGCCGACCGTCTTCGACCACTGTTGATCGTACCACTGTTGATCGCCATCGACCACCGTCGACTGTCTTCGACCACCGCTGATCGTCATCAACCATCATCGACCGTCGTCGACCACCGTTGATCGTCGTCAACCACCGGTGACCAGACGTCGCCAGTCAATGTCGTAACTTGAAAAATCTAGTAACCCTCTCCTATCTGTAGAATAAGAGCTCATCATTACGGTTCATGTATCAACTACGACCTACACGGTCATCAGTTCATGCAGCTCCCAAATCTAGTCCCAAAAGTCTATGGACATCAGTACTGCTCACCACTACGGTCCATATGCCAAAAACGACCTACACGATCATCATCCATGCAGCTGCCGACTCCGGTCCCAATAGTCTATGGACGTCACCACTGCTCACCACGACGGTCCATATGCCAACAATGACCTACACGATCATCAGCTCATGCAGCTCCCGACTCTAGTCCTAACAGTCTATGGACGTCACCACTGCTCACCACTATGGTCCATATGTCAACAACGACCTACACGGTTATCAGCTCGTGTAGTTCTCAAATCCGGCCCCCGCGGCCTACGGATGTCATTCATGCTCGTCACAACGGCTTATGTGGTCCACAGTTCCCACAACTGCTTAATACAATTTCACTATCCAATCAAAGCTTTTGGAGCAACCATCCCCAACACTCACAACGAACTACTACCTCTACAACGATCAATAATGGCCCTTGCAACTAGCTGTCTCCAAGAACTACAACTAGAATACAGTTAACAACTTTGTAATTCCATCTTTTCTAATTGAGAAGAAACATGAGCATGTGTACTCATCATTCATAATGGATTATTTCAGCTGGGCTAGGACCCTTGGTTTTTCCCCCTCTCAAGGGTTTTCCACGTAAAAAGTTGAGGTGTCTTCTCCTGCTTACTTCTCTTCTTTTATTTGTGTGTATTGAATTTTCATGCAACGCTAAGACGATAATTCATTAATCTACCGTCGTGAATTTCTAGCTCGCATTAGTTTGACACTGACTGTGGGAAACAAAGTCCTGTTCGACATTGTCTTCAACTCTATGACACCGAGCCCCTACTTCATTTCCCAATGATGTACTTCATACAACTGACGGAGGAACGTCTTTCACGTCATGAAGATCATCTCCGATGAATTCTTCAATGTGAGAGACAACCTTCACTGCAATCTTGAAAGGTTTTTCACGCCAACGTCCCGATTGTAGTAGGGTTGTCTTCTCACATCTTATTCAGACACAAAGTATTTCACAATTTCTTTTGGGTTGTATTCAGACACAAAGTATTTCACAATTTCTTTTGGGCTGGGGGGCAACCTTCACTACAGTCTCGAAAGGTAGTTCACGTCAACTTACTGGGCACGATTATATTTGGGTTGTCTTCTCACATCTTATCCAGACACAAAGTATTTCACAACTTCTTTCAGACTAGGGGGCAAGTTTTACTGCAGTCTCGAAAGCTCATTTCTATTAACATCCTTGGCATGACTGTGGTGGGGAAGTCATCCCACATTTCATTCAGATTAAAAGTTTTCAAGAATCTCTCTTGGACTGAGGGGCAATCTTAACTGCAAAAAACGCTTCCTCAGTGTCCCCTCATCATACTGGAGTTTCTCTTCAACTAGATCAGAAAACTGATCTCTTCAAGGCCCAATACTTGTGATGTTTTACAAGCTTGTATCGAAAATACCTCATGTGGCGGAGCAAAAGATTTAAAAGTAGCAACTAACAATTTGTCAAACATTTTTCTTGAGTACGACTGCAACCATATTTCCAAAAAAACATATGGTTCATTGTGATCTACACTCTAGTCTCGAGAAATGCAGAGCATCTCTGACACCTCATTCTAGGCTTAATCAATCCCAGGGGGACTTGATTCGACACCTTCCATTACAGGTTACAGTCATTAAACAAAAACTTTGACATACAGCCTTGGATAGGTCAAAAATCCTTTGTAGATTTCCTTCAACCTCTTCTAAACAGGTTACGATCGTCAAGCAAAGGCTTCGACCAACAACCTAGGATAGGTCAATCATCCTTAGTGGATTTCATATGACTTTGTTACGGGTTAATAATGTTGAGCATTTCTGGTTATACAACTCAGAATTGGTCTTACATCCCCAATGGGTTCTCCTTTCAACCATGCTCCTGGAAGTTAAGCCCAGAAGACAATACCCGATAAGAAGCTACCATGATGCTGGAAGACGAGCCCAAGAGGGTCTTCATTGAAAAACCTCAGAAAGCTACATGTCTTAGAAGGTATCGGTTCAAGCTCCTATAAGAGATAGACCTGAGAGGGTGAAACCTCGGAAAGCATGAACCACAAAAGGTATGCGACTCTTCATAAAGTGTATGCTGACTTTAATTGCAGAATTTCTTATGGTTGAGAAACCACTACAACCTCATAAGCAATGTCAAAGACGCACAAAGAAATACATTGTTATCATCTACAAATACCACATCACATGGTTAAAAATATTACAAAGACCAACATATACTTGTATAAGGGTTGCACCAAATCAGTTCATCTTCAATTAGAGTCGGCATCGTCTCCCAAAAATTATAGTACATCTGATGATCGTCAGTGCTGACCTCACTTTTGGTTGAGGTCTAGAAACTTCTTTAGTAGCCTAGGTCTAGCCATAGGACTTTCCCATTGACTAGTCTTAGAAAACTAGAAAAGGTACCCTCACCATTAGAAACTCTAAAAACTCTTTGCTTTACTCGACTTGAAGTTCCACATATTGGTCCTAACCTCTAATATTTAGAAGGTGAGATCATTATGGGGGAACTCCAGAAGAGTTCTTATAGGGTTACTTGACCTTAGGATTGACCCTGAGTGTTGGTTTGGAGCTAAGATACACTATACATTCACCATATCTTCACAATACCTTCACAATACCCTCACAATGCCTTGGCTAAGACCAATATATGAGGATCCAAAATGGGATTTCATTGGTCTATGACTCATTTAAAATGGTTCTCTACCCAATTATATTTGAAATGCCCAACTTGGTCTTTTGCTCCTAGGCACCTCCAAATTACATATCTGCCCTTGGGACCCAAATTTGGCCAAAATACTCAAAACTGATCAAAGCTCATTCCAAACACTTTGAATATATCCAAATTTGCCAAAACTGACAAAAATGACCAAATTACCGAAATGCCCCTCCATGGCCCAAAAATCCAAAAATTCCAAAAATTCCCAATAAATCCCAATAAATCCAAAATATTCTCAATTTCATTTTTTCCGACCACACCATAGTCCAATTTGATCAATTTGACCATCTTTGACCAAAACCCAAAATTAGCCCCAATATTGGCTAACACCCCAAATCTCAACAATTGAATGCCCTAAACCTCAAATTGGCATCC